TTCATTACTGATGTTGGACAACCACACATAGCGCTAACCTTACTTCCAGCACAATAAACAAACGACTAGTGTGCAAGGGCACATTGTCACTGTGTTTCCCCGAGTTCCCACCAGATGTTCATACCGTAAGCAAATTCCAGTGTTACCAAATTGCGCGCCATGTGAGTTATACGTGGTGACCCATTTTCATTTGACTACAACTTATATTTAAACTATGGGGGGAATCAACCACTAAGAATGTTGAGAATATGGTATTTAAATGGATTCAATATTTAATATTTTAACCTATTAAAATAGTTTTTAATATATATATTTTTTAATATTTTAAGACTCTTAATACTTGTTTAATACATTTTTAAAGCAGTATAGAAACACAACCACTTGATCTGTGCATATAAAGATGATTAACAAAAGAGGAAGAAGCACACCAAATTTCTTTTTTGGTTTATTATAAAACACAATTATAAGTACAATATATGGCCCCATATAGAGGGGCACAATTCAATAGTATAAGGATTTTTAATATATCACCTGATGACAGCACTCTGTGCCAAAACATGCTGCAACACTGTATGAAAAATAAACTCAGTTATGCACACTGAAATATGAGCGACTCATTTGGAATATTGTTGTGTCTGACAGGACAAACAGAACTCATACATAGGTTGGATAAAAAGTAGTGGCAACGGCTCTATAGTTCTGAAATGACTTTATTACCTGAGGTAAACACACTTACATTCCTTCAATATAATCGCCCCCAATGTGTACCACCTTCTGCCAAATTTGTGGAAGGCGTCGTACACCATCAGTGTGTCCACTTATGTTGATGTCCAGCAGTGACCGCCCTACAGCATGAATAATCTCCTCTCTTGTGTTGTAATGTAACCCTTGCAGTAGTTCTTTCATTTTGGCAAAGAGATCATAATAGCATGGACTCATATCAGGTGAGTATGGCAGATATTGCAGCATCTCCCATCACCAGCAGCAAAGGAGATCCTTGACAGCATCAGCAGTATGAGCCCTTGCATTGTCACGAAGGATGTTGCGGTTTGTTGCCAACAAGTGTCGTCGCTTTCTCATGAGTGCTGGACAAAGGTGATTACGCAGGAAACTGCAGTAGTAGGCAGGGTTTACTGTCTGTCACTGAGGTAAAGTGTAGTGCAGTATCACTCCATCAATGTGATATGCCACAATGAACATTGTCTTCACATTACTCTGTGTAGGGCGCACTTTCTTTGGATAGGATAGCCAGAATGCTTCCATTCATTTGAATGTTGCTTCAAGTGCGGTTCGTATGAGCAAGCCCAAGTTTTGTCCAGAGTGATGATCCTTCTAAGGAAGTCATCACCCTCCTTCTAGTACTGGTCCAACAAGTCCTGTGCAATTGCATCACACTGCCATTGTTGCACCTCAGACATTGCATGAGGTACCCAACGCACTGCAATTTTGCGGTATCCAAGAATATCATGCAGAATGTGGAGCACGGTTTAGTGACATACGCCTACCTCAGCAGCTAACTCCCATGCAGCCCATCGACAATAAACATCCAGCAAATAAGCAAGAAGCTGAATTGTGTGGTTGTCAACATGGGGTCGTCCTGAACGACGGCTGTCCTGAATGGCATCCCTCCGTTCACAGAACAATTTCACCCATTGTGCAACTGTGTGATATGGCAAAGCAGCATCACCACATTGTATATCTACAGGATAGGGTCACATTAGGCAGTGTATTACTTGTACTGCATGGTATCACTGTCAAAGATAGGAGATTAAAACTATTCACATAGTACAGCATACAGTGGTACCCACCGTGGTTGTCTGCGCAAACAAGGCCACAGAAGAGCCCTTGGTACTCATATCCACGCAGTCGAAGATACTTATAGATGTCTCGTGATGAAAGTTCAAGCAGTTCATCATTGACAATAGGCCTGGGAGCCTCCAGTGCCACCATTTCATGGGAGACCTTCATGGGCACCCGCACCAAACCACTCACAACTGGTGTATTACTCTCTGTTACTTCAAACTTCCCACTCACTTTCAGGATCATAACAGTAAAGTGAAGTTCTCCTGTAAAAGGGCAGTTGAATAATAAAACAGTGGGCACTTAGCAGCAGGCTATTCAGGTGGATGCTTTTACCAGACGTAGCCCAACTGTGCTAAGGTCAGAGCAGAGCTCTGAATTAATTACATGAAGAAAAGTGATTTTATATACAAGATTACAATAACAAGCTACAATTTTCAACCAGCCAAAGAGACAAACGAATTAACTAGCCTTTTATATTCTGACAAACGGTCATACAGCCAACGAGTTGTGTAGGCTACAGCAGAATTATCTGTTGCACATCTTCTCATAAATTTCAGCAATTTTCTTGGCTTATCATTGGTTTTCATTTCCAAGATTTCACTATGAAGCAGGAAGGTTGAAAAGCTGTATATATTTGTGAAAGCGGCAGACATAAAAGCATTCACCATCCAGATTTGCCATACATACTAAGTGTAATGAACTATGCTATTACACGAACCTTGCTTGGGTATGCTAGTAGCCCTGTGGAACCGTACATCCTCAAACACAATTGGTACTTCAGTATAATTTTGTCCAGTCATCAGCCCAACTGATTTCCACACAAGTTCCTGTACAAGATAATCATCAAATCAAGCGTTGCCACTGGATCACAGGACTAGTGTAAAGTATGTACTCATGGATATTGTCATGTGTAGGGGTGAATTTAGGCAAGGTTTTGATTGGCGATCGTATCTATTTAACACTTATATATATATATATATATATATATGAGAGGGCATACAAGCAATTACAGAACCA